TATATATATATATATATATATATATATATATATGTATTATAGCACGAATAGTCGAACAGACCTCAACATTAATATGACAATTAAATTTAGCAAGCAAGTATGGATTGTAAGGAACCACCCATCTATTATCTACATGATGTTGCCCAATTTTCACCCTTTGATTATTGTTTCGATGACGATAAATCGGATAGCCATCATTGACTTGGTATGTGTAGTCACAAAATTTTTTAGGATATGAATGTTTACACTTAGCCTCTTTGGCTTTTCCTTTTTTGACCATGCAAGTACTTGAAGGATTTACATCACCACATGGGCCATGTATCATGTGTTTTCCAATCATTTTATGCAAATGTGGATTCTCATTTTTATTTGGAATTTCAGCGCACACTATTCTGTCATACTCTTCTGGCCTAAACAATTTAAACCTAGATTGTAAAATCAATAAAAAGTGTGCATGTGGTAAACCTCTCTTTTGGAATTCAATAACATATGTGTATGCGGCTACCTCACCAAAAGTATTCTTTTTAAATTATTCATTTTTCAGCACTTGCAGTTTTGCATTAAAGACTCTTGTAATTAAATCTGGTCTATTTTGAGCCTCTTCATTAGCAAGTAATGTTTCTTTTATTTCTGGCCAAGCTGGATTGCATGTCAATGTCAAAAAAATATCAGGTTTTCCAAATTTTTGAACTAATGTCATAGCATCTATATATCTTTTTCTCATATTTCTTGGTCCACCAATAAAACTTGCAGGTAAATAAGTTCAATGACCTACTTTCGATCCCTCTGTTTCTCCGGCTGCCAATGCATCATGCAGTCCCTGTAAGTATTCTTCTCTAATTTCTTCTTGTTGTAATCTAAAAAAAATCTAATCTCTGTGACTCTAATTTAACATACATGTCAACAATATATTGTTGAAACAATCGACCAGACCTAAGCAAAATAGACTCTTCATGTTCCCTCATTTGTAACTTATATGAATAAGTTACAAAGAGAAATATACTACAAAAAGGAGTAACCACATACAAAGAGAAAGCAAACTACCTTGAATAATAATATTTACAAAGGCAAGAGGTACTTGGTATGCAGTGAGCGAATACACAAAGGCTATTGAACTAATGATACAAACTCCAGCTAAATTAACACCTACTGCAAGTACAACAATTGAATATAACTTTAAAAACCACATAAGTACATCAATAAAGAATATATTGGAGAGTATATATTGCTAAATTACCTGGCAAGCTCCAAACTCAAATGAGCAGAAGCACTTGTTGATGACAGATATCCAAGACGAAAAGTACCAAGAGCTTAAAATCTACTAACACACAAATCATACAAATAGTTAGAAAAAAACGAACACTCTGAGTTTTACATAATAAATTTTTATAAACTAACTAACAAAGCAAGTTTTCTAGCAAGTTTTCTTACACACATGAAATAGCGAATTGTGTGGATGCAAAATTACAAAACAAAATAACACTATCAACATAAAGACTGAAAAAACAATTATTCACTTTGATGTGATGATAGGAAGTCTACACAAAATGGTTAATGAAAACTAAACAAATGAATATATATTAAAAGCCACATGCAAAAACAAATATTTCAGCATAACCACATAAACAGAACATATATAGCTGAATCATCTGGCAAGCTGAAATGTGCAGAAGTATCTATTCATATGTTAATACGAAGATACCCAAGACCAAAAGCACTAAAATCTTTGTATCTATTAACACATAGATGATGCAAAGAGTGAGAACAGAATAACCCTTGGAGTTTCACAGAATATATTTTTATAAACTCACCAGAGATTTTTTTCTTGTGCACACAGGAAACAACAAAGTAGAGATTTGTGTAGATTATAGTAAAACCAAATAATACTATGAAATATAAAAATTGTAGAAAATATATCCACTAAAGTTAAAATATAAATTTAAAATACACCTCATGTTTTAAAAAATATCACCTAAATTCACAATGTAAAAGAAATGATTACATAAGAAACAATCATATACACAACGTGCATCATGTTCCAAAGATACCATACTCAACATAGTTAAGAAGATATATAATATTACTTTAGCATGCATGGCACCCCAAAAACATCACATCATAACTTTTATATGTAAAATACATTGACATAAATCCCCTAAAGAAAGATATTTCTAGAAAAAGCTAGACACTATTTCTTACATCCCTACACTACACTATAGTATTAGTCACCATACCCCTACAATAGACTGATCAGAATGCATAAAAAATTGCAAATAATTGTTTGGTAAATTCATTCTTATTCTTCCCATAAAAAACCCTAAAACAAATTAGCAAGTTTGATGTTATCCCAAATTTAAATGAATTGGGCCATTTTCGGGCCCAATACTGTGCATATATTTGCAATCATGAAATCACCCGATCCAATTGGAAAAAATGTGCAAAATTAACATGGTTAAATAATCAACAGAACATCTCCTGTTGACCTTTTATCTATCTCCGAATTATCCAAAATCAAATTCAACTAAAACATAGAGCTTTCTATGTTGAAACCTTCTCATTCCCTGCACATCCAGCCACCCATCTGTAAAGTGAAGTTGGCGTCCACTAAATTGGAACACAATGCAGATACTCATCCATGTAACAAAAATCCTGCATAAATTCGACAACCATAATAGAAAATTAAAGCAAACGTAAACTTCTAAAAAAAAAGAAAAAAAAATTAAATCAGAGCGGTACCTTTGCATGTTCTTAAAATCAGCTACCAGCCGCCGCCCAAATTTGAACGACATTCTTCATAACTCCTCAAATCACAATGAATTGTTCAGGTTGGCGTCCCAAAGAGATCTACCTCCTACTGTGGGCGATGGTTCAAATTGATCCTGGCTTATTGAGTCGCTATGCATTGAGAGCAACTGAAATCACAACCCCACTTACAAAAAAATAAGCAAGAAATAATGGCATAAAAATGTGTAATTCAAAAGAAAATGAAACAGAAATAAATTGCAAAATTGAGACAGTAATTTGAGCACATTGAGGATCTGTAGAAAGGGAAAAAAGGGGGAGAAGAAATTAGGGCCGATGAAAGAAGAGAATAAACTTTTCAAATTCACTCATTAAATTAATAAAATAATAAAATAAATGTGAATACTAAATATTTGTGAGTGAATGGAATAAAAAAAAAAGCCTACAAAAATGAAGTGAAAGGACAAAAAAACCGAGCTACAACCCACTGTAAGTGAAACATAAATAAGGGTAATTTAGTCTGCACAGAGGGACACGTGTCATGCAAGTAAGCCACCTCCTATTGCCTTATTAATATAGGAGACAGATAATATATAATATAATAAGAAGGTAGACAGATAGATATTTCCATAGGACCATCTACATTTTTTCTGTCTTTTTTTTTTAATGAGTTGATGTAGCCCTACATAGACAATGACGAACTACTCAGTTCTGAAGTGCAAATACTCTTGTGAAAAATGAGCGTTATTTTTTTGAAAATTAAAATAAATAAGAATAATAGTTTTTATTTTCTGGAGTTGATGTAGCCTGAGTGATGCACGAGACAAAGTTGTTAAATGAGTCATTTCATAGTGTAGGTCTAAAAAACAATATGGTTGATCAATCTATTTTCTACCTCTTTTAATTGGCGTTTTTGTACTCAGAACACTAAATCGAGTTATTTTCATAGGGTCTGTCCGTTTAGCTCTAAAAAACAATACACTCGACATTTATTTTCTATCACTTTTAATCAATCGTTTAGGCTAGAAATAATACAGTTCGATAATTTATTTTCTACTCCATTTAATCAGCATTGTTTTAGTAGCAAGAACATTAAACTTGAGCTGTTCGTGCTACATTAACTAATATATCATCCACTAAAATATTTATACTAATATAAATTTGATTTTATAATATTCTTTGATATATAAAAAAACAACGGTTTTACTTATTCTTGTGCACTATATAATACTTGATTATTATTTTATTATAATTTTTTTTCTTATACTGTCATTATTATCTATATAAGTTTTATAACTAGTCTTCTTCTTTCTATTTATGTAATAAAAATACATTTTGTATGTTAATATTATTTATATAATAAATTTAAAAGAAAATTTTGTGTATTTTTTCAAAATATACCCATATATTTTTTTTTTAAAAAAAAAATTATTTTTTATTGTAATTAAACAACACTAGTTTAGCAATTGCCAAAAACTAAATGTCTTCTATCATCAAGAGATTTTTCTATTTTGTATCCTAAGGCTTTATATTTTATTTAGCATACTATACAGCGGAAATATTTTACAAGAATTTCATTATGGGAACAAATCAAAATAAAAAAATATAAAAAATAATCGTGGTTGACAATAATATCCAAATATAATAAATATGTACTATAGGTGAACAAAATATACATTTTGTATTAACTAAATATGCATTACGAATGAACTAAATATCCATAATGTATATAACTAATTTAAATATAAAAAATATCCATTATGGATGAACTAAATATGCATTTCGTATGAACTAAATATGCTTCATGAATGAACTAAATATGCACATATATATATAAATATGTATTTTTTATTCTCAATTAAGTATGCATTTTTTATAACTAAAATATGCATTGTGTATTATCTAAATATGCATAAGAAATAAACTAAATATACATGGACCATATTTTAATTATTCAAACTATAAATAAATTACAGATTGAACCCAGGGATCTAATTACATTAACTTATAATTTTTTGAAATTGCAACTAAAACCTTCGAATTTATCTACTTTTCCAAAGAAAGCCTAGCCCCAAATCACAAATTTGCTTCACTCAGCAAGGGATGCGCTGCAGCTGTGTTTTAGGATTTGAAAAAATCATTCAACCGCTAAAGATGGCGCTCGTCCTACATCTCAAAAGAAAGAATAGAGAGATATAAGTGGTTAGCCTTGGAGGTTTTCTAAAGAGATTGGGGAGGGAAGAAGCCCGTGACTTAGCCTTTGGCCCATCCATAGCCTCCCCTCGGGCCGATTAGGCTGAGCAGCCTTCCTAGCCTGAGTGGCAGTCTCAAGAACTGCCTTACCCTTGTTCTTATGTCCCTTCAAGGACTCAGGCGCGCGAGCAAGGGCTTTACCCTGTCCCTTGGGGTCCCCTGGAGCAGCTAGAGGGCTCGGTCTAGCCGCACGGCGGAAACGACGGCTGGGGCTTGTTGCCACTGGGGTAGCAATTAGCCCCAACGTGGCCCACGTGATCACAAAGAGAATAGTAAAACGGGACCCACTCGTAGACCACCTTCTAAATGGTGGTCTTCCCAACATGGTCAAGCTCGATCTCATCGACGAGCTCGCTGTGGAGGTCTATCTCGACGCACACCCGTGCAACATATATCCTCATTCGGTTAATCCTGGCGGCATCAACCTCGATCGGATTTCCAATACAACTGGCAATCGAGAAAAGAATGGTAGGGTCGTAAAGGTGCGGGAGAAGGCATAGATGGCGGCACCAAACAGGGGCAATAGGTGCCTCAGTCAACGGGGAGAAGTCAGGGGTGCATTTGAGCACCGTGGCAGTGCACCCACAGACATTCACAGAAGTCTTGAGCCACGCCTCATTGTCGTCATCCCCAAGCTCGAAGGTGACTAGGTAATGATTGTAATTAAAGTACTTGAGCGTGTAACTACCCTTATACCCTAACTTTCCTAATCCAAACTTAAAATCTCGAAAGTTGGGGACAATATAAGAGAACTTAAAAATTAAGGCATTGTCGTATAGCCCGACAAGAGAAGAAACACCAGGCTTTGGAATGCTTACCTGGTACAGCCCTCCTCGGAATGCGAGACAGTCCAACGGTGATTAGCCTGGAATTTTTGGCGCGAGAATCTTTGACGTCCTGATTTACCAGCAGATTGGCTGGTGATCACATCCTGAAATGATCTTGGACCGCAGGTGTCGCTGACGTAAAAATCAAAATGGTCCCGAGGGCCATGGAAAGGCTTGAAGGGGTGCCGTCGGGGGATGTCCGGTGTTAGGTGCTCCGGTGAGCGCAGCCGAGGTGCCAGTTGATGGCGGAATGGGGCCCGACTTTAAAACGGGCCCGGGACCAAGAATTTCAACCCTTAAAAATTAATTTTGGGTGGCCTGGGGGTCGTCGGCAGGCAGCAGAGAGGTGGCGGTGGCCGACGGCGGGGTGACAGAGGCGGCAGCCGCCGGCAGCAAGGGGACTGCAGTCAGAAGGGGCTGTCGGTCAAAAGGACCTGAATTTTGGATGTTGGGCTTAGGCAAAGTGGGTCGTGGATGGGTCAGTGTGGGAAGTGTGGGAATGATGGGCTGAGTGATATAGGTGGGCTGGGCTGGGTGTGTGTGTTGGGTGGGCTGGGGTAGATTGCTTGGAGTGGGCTGTAGCATGGGATGTGCTGTGGGTTTGGTAAGGTGGGCAGAAGATTGTCCGTGGCCCAACCAGTGTCCTTTGGTCCAAAGCGAAGACGGGCCCGAAGACCAGTCAAAGTGATTGCTGACCATCCACGTGGAAAGGCAGGTTGATCGAAGGCTGGGATTCGACCGACTGCCTATGATTTGCCCGACAATATGGCTGATCCAACAAAGCTCCCAGTCGTTCTCTCTCTCTCTCTCTCTCTCTGTCTCTCTTTCTCTGCATGCTCTTCTTTGCCTTCATTTTTATTTATCCAGTCATTCACCGACAGAGCTCCCAGCCGCCGTGGAGAACATGTTTTCATAAGCAAATTGCCGCCGAAGACGACCAAAACCTAGACGGATAGTGTCTGAACGGACAACTGGTCGGAGATGAGATGTGTAGATTGCTACACAAAGGTCTCTGTGGACTGAATTTGTGGTCAATGGCCGGCGACGGTGGTCAACGACCTCGGTCGGCCAATCAACCACGATTAACACAAATATATTTATTTAATTATTTATTATATATCTAATTTAAAAATAATTTATATGTTTATTATATAATTAATGTGTATTACAATTGATTAATATTGTCTATTGATCTAGATAAAATCAATGACTGTGATTGAGTCTTACGTATTCACTTTAAGAAGTGCCCTCATTTGATCCACCATATATATATATATATATATATAGGAATTGGTTCCAATGCATCCACTTATTTAAAGTGAGGACGTGAGACTCATTTTTAACCACAAGATTTGGTACATCATGTGTGGACAAGATTTACTCTTTTCTTTTTATTATTTTAATTATTTTAATATCATGTTAACCCGTTGACTTCCAGCGTTGACTTTCGGCGAAAATGCGTTGACTTCCGTCGTTGACCATTGACAACTAACCTTCCAACTAGGTTAGTTCTCTGTAGTTGCTAGATTAGTTCTCTGTAGTTGCTAGGTTAGTTCTCTGTAGTTGCTAGGTTAGTTGTATGTAGTTGCTAGGTTAGTTATTAGTTCTTGCTAGGTTAGTTGTATTTAATTTCTAGGTTGGTTGTGTCTAATTTCTAGGTTAGTTGAGTCCCTTCAGGGACTCAGGCGCACGAGCAAGGGCTTTACCCTGCCCCTTTGGATCCCCTGGAGCATCTAGAGGGCTCGGTCTAGCCGCACGGCGGAAACGACGGCTGGGGCTTGTTGCTACTGGGGTAGCAATTAGCCCCAACGTGGCCCACGTGATCACAAAGAGAATAGTAAAACGGGACCCACTCGTAGACCACCTTCTAAATGGTGGTCTTCCCAACATGGTCAAGCTTGATCACATCGACGAGCTCGCTGTGGAGGTCTATCTCGGCGCACACCCGTGCAACATATATCCTCATTCGGTTGGTCGTGGCGGCATCAACCTCGATCGGATTTTCAATACAACTGGCAATCGAGAAAAGAATGGTAGGGTCGTAAAGGTGCGGGAGAAGGCATAGATGGCGGCACCAAACAGGGGCAATAGGTGCCTCAGTCAACGGGGAGAAGTCAGGGGTGTATTTGAGCACCGTGGCAGTGCACCCACAGACATTCACAGAAGTCTTGAGCCATGCCTCATTGTAGTCATCCCTAAGCTAGAAGGTGACTAGGTAATGATTGTAATTAAAGTACTTAAGCGTGTAACTACCCTTATACCCTAACTTTCCTAATCCAAACTTAAAATCTCGAAGGTTGGGGACAATATAAAAGAACTTAAAAATTAAGGCATTGTCGTACAACCCGACAAGAGAAGAAACACCAGGCTTTGGAATGCTTACCTGCTACAGCCCTCCTCGGAATGCGAGACAGTCCAACGGTGATTAGCCTGGAATTTTTGGCGCGAGAATCTTTGACGTCCCGATTTACCAGCAGATTGGCTGGTGATCACATCCTGAAATGATCGTGGACCGCAAGTGTCGCTGACGTAGAAATCGAAATGGTCCCGAGGGCCATGGAAAGGCTTGAAGGGGTGCCGTCGGTGGATGTCCGGTCTTAGGTGCTCCGGTGAGCGCAGCCGAGGTGCCAGTTGATGGCGGAATGAGGCCCGACTTTAAAACAGGCCCGGGACCAAGAATTTCAGCCCTTAAAAATTAATTTTGGGTGGCCTGGGGGTCGTCGGCAGGCAGCAGAGAGGTGGCGGTGGTCGACGGCGGGGTGACAGAGGCGGCAGCCGCCGGCAGCAAGGGGACTGCAGTCCGAAGGGGCTGTCGGTCAAAAGGACCTGAATTTTGGATGTTGGGCTTAGGCAAAGTGGGTCGTGGATGGGTCAGTGTGGGAAGTGTGGGAATGATGGGCTGAGTGATATAGGTGGGCTGGGCTGGGTGTGAGTGTTGGGTGGGCTGGGGTAGGTTGCTTGGAGTGGGCTGTAGCATGGGATGTGCTGTGGGTTTGGTAAGGTGGGCCGAAGATTGTCCGTGGCCCAACCAGTGTCCTTTGGTCCAAAGCGAAGGCGGGCTCGAAGACCAGTCAAAGTGATTGTTGACCATCCACGTGGCAAGGCAGGTCGATCGAAGGCTGGGATTCGACCGACTGCCTATGATTTGCCCGACAATATGGCTGATCCAACAGAGCTCCCAGCCGTTCTCTCTCTCTCTCTCTCTCTCTCTCTCTCTCTTTCTCTGCATGCTCTTCTTTGCCTTCATTTTTATTTATCCAGTCATTCACCGACAGAGCTCCCAGCCGCCGTGGAGAACATGTTTTCAAACGCAAATTGCCGGCGAAGACGACCGAAACCTAGACGGATAGTGTCTGAACGGACAACTGGTCGGAGATGAGATGCGTAGATTGCTACGCAAAGGTCTCTGTGGACTGAATTTGTGGTCAATGGTCGGCGATGGCGGTCAACGACCTCGGTCGGCCAATCAACCACGATTAACATAAATATATTTATTTATTTATTTATTATATATCTAATTTAAATTTAATAATTTATATGTTTATTATATAATTAATGTGTATTACAATTGATTAATATTGTCCATTGATCTAGATAAAATCAATGACTGTGATTGAGTCTTACGTATTCACTTTAAGAAGTGTCCTCATTTGATCCACCCCATATATATATATATATATATGTATGTATATATATAGGGATTGGTTCCAATGCATCCACTTATTTAAAGTGAGGACGTGAGACTCATTTTTAACCACAAGATTTGGTACATCATGTGTGGACAAGATTTACTCTTTTCTTTTTATTATTTTAATTATTTTAATATTATGTTAACCCGTTGACTTCCAGCGTTGACTTTCGACGAGAATGCGTTGACTTCCGGCGTTGACCGTTGACATTCGGTGTTGACTCCGTCGTTGACCGTTGACAACTAACCTTCCAACTAGGTTAGTTCTCTGTAGTTGTTAGATTAGTTCTCTGTAGTTGCTAGGTTAGTTCTCTGTAGTTGCTAGGTTAGTTGTCTGTAGTTGCTAGGTTAGTTCTCTGTAGTTGCTAGGTTAGTTATTAGTTCTTGCTAGGTTAGTTGTGTCTAATTGATAGGTTAGTTGTCTGATGTTGCTAAGTTTTCTTTTTTTTTTTTGTTTTTTTAAATAAAATAAAACAAACAACGCCCTGGAAGGGTGGGGGATTAGGCTGGATCCCCAACCTGTGCATAGATTAAGACCCCAAAATGGGGGCCCAAAATATCAACAGTCGACAGTCTATAGAGTCTCACAAACTAAACAAAATAGAAATAACAATACAAAGTCTGTCTACGGGCTAACAGATGCCCGTGAATAAAAGCCTAATCTAGTGAAAGCAATAAATCTAATCTACAGAAAGCGGAACGATGGATATCCAAGCTGGTTCTTCCGTATAAGCGTGCAAAGGCGGAGTGGAGCAGTGTCGGTCTGAAACGTGTGTGGGTCTGGTATGGTGGCGCCAAGGCCGGCAAGGTAGTCAGCAGGTCTGTTCCCCTCACGAAAAATGTGCGTGATCCTGTGATGGACAGACCGAAGTTGAGCTCTAATGCGCATAAGCGAGTGCTGAATCTGTTACAAGCCCTGGTGACCAGAAGTCTGGAGGGTGGCGACAGCCGCAACGTCCAGCTCAATCCAAATATGACTAGATAAGTGGACAACAATCTGAAGGCCAATCTGTAATGCCTGAATCTCTGCGTCGTAGCTCGAGGAGGCCTGAAGTGGTGCGTGGAAGGCGGTGATGAGGACGCCGTAGTGGTCCCGGATCAAGCCTCCTCCTCCGACAGCTCCGGTATGGCGATCAAACGAGCCATCAGTGTTCAGCTTGACCCAAGGAGAGTCGGGTCGAAGCCAAACAACAGCTCTGGGCCAAGGGGGCCGAACAGGCGGTGAGAAAGCCACCATGAAGCGGTGTGGCGGCGTGCAGCCTGTCCAGTCTCGGGCCGTGAGCCTGCCCAATGCTATGAGAAGTGAAAGATGTCTCTCTACCAGCAAAACAATGTGAGAAAACAAAAAAGTAATATCCCTATGCTTCGCACTATTCCTCTCCGTCCAGGTGAACCAAAGGATCAGACAAGGAATGAGGAAGCTCACGTGTCTAACGTGTGTGCTCTATGAGAAAAAACTCAAGAGCTCAAAGAAACTGTCTGTGGTGGGTAGGGATATATGGGTCCAAATGGCAAAGTGCTCCCACACTCTCCTCACAATCTCACTCTCTAGAAAAAGGTGGGTAAAGGTCTCGGTCTCATGGCGTCCAGTCTCAGTACAACACACACACACCGAGAGGGGAAGGAGATCCCCCTCGCGTGTAACACAGTATCCATGGGTATCCAGTTCAGGAGGAGGCGCCAAAGGAATAACGAAATGGTAGGGGTGAAAAGGTCGCTCCAGATGGCCCCGAAAATAAGATCAGGCCGATTAATCAGCCTGATCTTCTCCCAAGCCGAGGTAGTAGAAAACACACCCGATGATATAAGTCTCCACCTCATGCTATCCGAACCGTCCCCCGAGATAGGGATCTGCTGGATCTGATCTAATAAATGCTCGCTAAAACCCGCACCAGATCCCAACTCCCTATCGAGCTTCCCCCTATCCCACGACCCGTCCGTCCAAAGGTCACTCACGAGCAGGTAGGGGGAATGCGTCACCTGTCTATCCCTAGACAACGTCCTATCACCTAACCACCACTCATCCCAGAAACTAACCTCGCCCTCGCCCAAAACCCACAAGATGTGATCCTGGGCGCGCCTACCAACCCTAGTGAGGCGCCTCCACTGTCTGCCATCATGATCAACAGCTGTCACCCAACAAGGGTGGTTGGCACGTCTAGGAC